ACATTTTTAACAAGCTGCTTGATGTCAAATCAGATTTTTTAGAGATCCATACTATCACTCCGAGGTGGACTGGATATGGATAAGGGATGAGAAAGCCTTCTTTGATGGTATTTCCTATATGTACAGGAGTATGGGCCAATGTCTTGAAATGACACTGTATGTTTTATTAGCATGTTATACATTTTGATGTCAAGTAAACTTAGGAATATCAGTTTTAGGAATTTGTGCTAATAGAAATAAGGACACACTTTATGTATATGATAAGGACAATCAACGTGGTTGTTTTTAAAACACTGAAAATGGAATTTAAGCCAAGTAGGTGATTTACAAACTATTGGAATATCTAATACTGCTTCTCTTAAATCATTCAGATTTAGGAAATTGAAAAATGGACCTTTGAAAATGCTAGGTTTACAATGAGAAACGCCATAATTCGATGTTTATTCTATGGGTCCTTGACATTTGGGATCTGGACAGCTCTGTTATTCATATATTTGCACCATAATCATGTGAGCAACTGGCAGAAGAAAAGCCATGAGCCTCTGTCAGCTTGGTCTCCTGGAAAAAAAGTGCATCAGCAAATTATCTATGGCTCAGACCAAATACCAAAACCGCATGTAATAGTCAAAAGGACTGATGAAGATAAAGCAGAGTCTACGTTAGGTAAGTATTTGGATTTTTTTCCATGAGCCATTCTAAGGGAAAAATATATCATAATATTTAATATTTGGAAGAGTATGAGAATGTCCTTTTTAAAGCAATTTACTTTTTAAGTTATAAATTATTTTATATACCTGTATGTATCTATACATAGAAAATAATAAAACAAGTATGCGTGTATTTACCACTTAAATTTATCATTTTAAATATAGTTTTGCTATATTTGCTTCAGATAGATTTCTGTTTTTCCAAGAAATAAGTTGTAATAGTACCGTAAAAACCCTACCTCCCTCCCGTCCCCACGCTGCCCTCAGAGGTGGTCTGACCTGAAGTGATGATGGGTGTCTTTCTCCTGCATGTCCTTCCACTTCCTCTGTATATTATTCCTAAGCAAAATATTGTGTTCTATGTTTTTAATATATTTTTAGATATTCTGATATACATATCATTTTGGAACTTGCTTTTTTCCCTCATCACTATGTAAGATTATTTTCCCATGTTCTCACACATGAAGATCTAATTTTGCCAGGCATGGTGGCTCACACATGTAATCTCGACAATTTGGGAGGCAGAGGCAGGAGGATCACTTGAGGCCAGGAGTTCAAGACCTGCCTGGGGAACATAGCAAGACCCCAACTCAACAAAAATAATAATAATAACTAGCCAGGTGTGGTGGTGCATGCCTATAGTCCCAGCTACTTGGAGAGCTGAGGTGGAAGGATCGCTTGAGCCCAGGAATTCAAGGTTACAGCGAGCTATGATTGGGCCACTGCACTCCAGCCTGGGCAACAGAGTTAGATGCTGTCTCAAAAAAATAAAAAATAAATAAAATACAAATATGAAGACCCAGTTGAACAAAATAAACCCAAAGAAAGATGAAGAAAATAAGAGTAGAAATTAAAGCCTTAACACACAGGCCTACTATTTCTGTGGATCCCTGCTCTGAACGGCCCTCCCGCTAGATGACCAGGTAGGTGTGGGCCTGAAACCCTACCCTAAGCACTACTCCAGCGTGTGACACACGACAGCCCCTTGGCAGGTCTCCTGCTCATTGCCCCGAGGTCACACTCTAATTCTGGCTCTCAGTCTTACCTATCGGATGGTGACAGAAAGGAGAGAAACAGCAAACCAAGGATGAGTGCCAGGGGACAGTGTTGCTTTCTGGGATGTGAGTAGAACCTGATTCTCTGCCAAGTGAAACAAGTATTGGGATGGCCAAACTGTTTCCCAAAGTAGCTGGGCAACTTTATATGAGTGTGCGAGAATCCCGTGTTCTCTGGATCTTTGCTAACACTTGACATGGTCCAGTTTTAAAATTTTAGTTATTCTAATGGGTGAGTAAGGCCATCACTTTGATCTTAATTTGTATTTGCCTGATGACTAATGATTTTGAGCACCTTTTCATGTGCTTGATAACCACTCATATACCTTCTTTTGTAAAGTGTCTTTTGGAGTCTTTTGTCTATTTTTAAATGGGATGTTTTTCTTCTTAATTTTTAAGACTTCTTTATATATTCTAAATTCAAGTTTCTTGATATGTGAGTTTCAAATGTTTTGGACAAATCTGTAGCTTGTCTTTTTATTCTTTTTAATGGCATTATTAAAAAAGCACAATTTCACATTTTAAAATTTGGGGGTTTTTATTTCATAAGTCCCCAAAATGCCTCACAATGTTATATTTTGATGCTTTTCTTGTATGATTTATGGTTTTTATGTTTCATTTGAGAAACCTTTGCTAACCTCAAGTTCACAAAGATTTCATTCTGTTTTCTTTTGGAAATGAATTTAAAGTTTTAGGTTTCACATTAGGGCCATGATCTATTTCGAGTTAATTGTTGTGATGATGTAGGGTAAGAATAAATGCTCACTTTTTCCACATGGATATTGTGAGAAACAAACTCATCCATCCAAACCCAAAGAATGGACTCAGAGACCCAGAGAATAGTGGAAGTGAGACTTTTAATGGCAGTGATGCAAGACCGGGTGTCTGGCACACAGACACACCCAGCACAGTTTCAACAAGCAATTTATCCTCTAGTGCGCAGATCCCTCCCCCTTCCTCATAGACTGAGTACTGTGGGGTCAGGATCTTCCCGGACGTTGCCTATTGGTTGTTAGGCAGGGGCTTCAAGTATGTTCTTTAGGGTCTTTGTGCTGCGTTTTATTGCAGCCCACAATGCACTGCAACTCTCTCAGGACCCTTCAAACATTTGATTTATGGCCCTAGTGGCTGCACTTAGCTGATAAGAAAGGATATATTTACATATGTTGCAAGCTAACCAAAACTAAATTCTTTGTTTTGTTTTGTTTTGTTTTGTTTTTGAGACGGAGTCTCGCTCTGTCGCCCAGGCTGGAGTGCAGTGGCGCGCTATTGGCTCACTGCAAGCTCCGCTTCCTGGGTTCACGCCATTCTCCTGCCTCAGCCTCCCAAGTAGCTGGGACTACAGGTGCCTGCCACCTGTAATTTTTTGTATTTTTTTTTTGTATTTCTTTCTTTTTTATTTTTATTTTTTTGTTTGTTTGTTTGTTCAGTAGAGAGGGGGTTTCACCGTGTTAGCCAGGATGGTCCCGATCTCCTCACCTCGTGATCTGCCCACCTCGGCCTCCGAAAGTGCTGGGATTACAGGCCTGAGCCACCGTGCCCGGCTCCAAAACTAAATTATTTGGTGGGTGGGGAGGGGGTAGTTGAGGGGGCCCCGAGCAATAGACGCCTGGCTACTGGGTGAAAGGGAGAGCAGGAAGGGGCGGGGGACGGGGTGGCTCAGTACATTCTGCTTCTTTATCTATTTCCATGTAGCCTGCTTAAACCTATACTAGGGCACTTAGAATTGAAAATGGACCATCACATACAGGTTATTTTCTACAGATATCCAGTTGATCCAACACCATTTGTTGATAAACTCCCCTTTCCCCACTGATATAATCAGAATATTTATCCCTCCATGTCTCATGTTGAAATTTGGCCCACAGTGTTTAATATGGAGCCTGGCAGGATGTGTTTGGGTTACATGGGCAGATCACTCGTGAATGGCTTTGTTCCTGCCTACAGTAATGAGCTCTCCTTCTATTAGCTCATGGGAAAGCTGGTCGTTTCAAAAGCCTGGCATCTCCCGCTCCTTGCTCCCACTCTCACCGTGTGACTTGCCTGTTCCCTCTTTACCTCCTGCCAAGATTGGAAGCTTCCTGAGGCCCCCACGAGAAACAGATGCCGGCCCAATGCTTCTTGCACAGCCTGCAGAACTGTGAGCCAAATACATCTCTTTTCTTTATAAATTACCCAGCCTCAGGTACTCCTTTATAGCAATGCAAAACGTACTGAAACACTCGCCTTTGCCAAGAATTATTTGACCATTTTTGCACAGATCGATTTCTGAATTCTATTCTGGTTCTTTTAAAAAATTATTTTGGTTATTCTAGATCTTTCCTTTCCTGCATCACTGCTAGTAAGCCTTTACTTATATGACTCTAATTACTTTTTCTTGCAGGTATGGATTTTAACCATACAAACCCAGAACTTCATAAAGAACTTTTAAAATACGGATTTAATGTGATTATCAGTAGAAGCTTGGGCATCGAAAGAGAAGTGCCAGATACCAGGAATAAAATGTATGTTCTCTCTCTCTTTCTCTCATTCTCTAGGTAGGTAGGTAGATAGATAGATAGATAGATAGATAGATAGATAGATAGATAGATAGATAGATAGATTAAAAAGTTACCAACCAGATTTTAATTTTAGCATACTAGAAATGTCATAGATTCCTATTTTTAGGACTTGAAGTCAGATAATGTCAAGATTCTATTTCAAGATTCTAATGCTTATAGTGTAGAGAGTATCTTCTTTATGGGCACAAAATGTGTTCTAGAGGTTTCCAAGAATTGAGTTAGCCACAGATCTTTTTATTAAATCACCAATAAGGGCTTCTGGCCAAAGGGGCATTCATTCCTGATAGAAAATGCTCTGGACAGCTACCTTTTTTCCCCCAAAATTTTACTTTTTTCAAAAAAATTGTTCCTTCAATTGTTGTATTAATAATTATTATGTTAATGATTAACATTTTCATTAATTATGTTATATAAAATAAACATAACATAAAATTTGCCATTTTAATCCTTTTAAAATATACAATACAGACATTCACATCGTGCAGCCATCGATACCATCCATCTCCAGAATCTCAAACTGAAATTCTGTACCTGGTATGGCTTGGGTCTATGTCCCCACCCAAATCTTATCTTGAGTTGTAATCCCAGGTGTCAAGGGAGGGACCTGGTAGAAGGTGATTGGATCATGGGGGTGGTTTCCCTCATGCTGTTCTCTTGATAGTGAGGGAGTTCTCATGAGATCTGATGATTTTAAAAGTAGTAGTTTCCCCTGCATTCTCTCTCTCTCTCTCTCTCCTGCCACCATGTAAGATGTGCCTTGCTTTCACTTCGCCTTCTACCATGATTGTAAGTTTGCTGAGGCTTCCCAGCCATGTGGAACTGAGTCAATTAAACCTCTTTTGTTTAGCAATTACCCAGTCTCAGGTAGAATCTTTATAGCAGTGTGAAAATGGGTTAATACAGAAAATTGGTACCAGGAGTGGGGCACTGCTATAAAGATACCTAAAAATGTGGAAGCAACTTGGGAACAGGGTAACAGACAGTGGTTGGAATAGACTGGAGGTCTCAGAAGAAAAGGGGAAGATGTGGGAAAGTTTGGAATTTCCTAGAGACTTGTTGAATGGCTTTGGTCAAAATGTTGATAGTGATAAGGACAATGAAGTCCAGGCTGAGGTGGTCTCAGATGGAGATGAGGAACTTGTTGATAAATGGAGTAAAGGTGACTCTTGTTATGCTTTAGCAAAGAGACTGGTGGCATTTTGCCCCTACTCTGGAGATCTATGGAACTTTGAACTTGAGGTTTGGAAAATTTGCAGCTGACCATATAGTAGAAAAGAAAAACCCACTTTCTGGGGAGAAATTCAAGCCCAATCCAGCTGTGAAAATTTGCATAAGTAATGAGGAGCTGAATGTTAATAGCCAAGACAATGGGGAAAATGTCTCCAGGGCATTTCAGAGATCTTCATGGCAACTCCTCCCATCACAGGCCCAGAGGCCTAGAAGGAAAAACAATTTTGTTGGCCAGGCCCAGGGCCCTGCTGTTCTGTACAGCGTTGGGTCAAGGTGCCCTGTGTCCCAGCCACTCCAGCTCCAGCCACAGCCAAAAGGGGCCAAAGTATAACTAAGGCTGTGGTTTCAGAGGTTGCAAGTTCCAAGCCTTGGTGGTTTCCATGTGGTATTGGGCCTGTGGTGCACAGAAGACAAGAGTTGAGCTTTGGGAGCCTCCACCTAGAAATCAGAGGATATATGGAAACACCTGGATATCCAGGCAGAAGCCTGCTGCAGGGGCAGAGCCCTTGTGGAGAACCTCTACTAGGGTAATGCAGAGGGGAAATGTGGGGATGGAGACACCAAACATAGTCCCCACTGGGGCAATGCCTACTGGAGCTGTGAGAAGAGGACCACCTTCCTCCAGACCCCAGAATCGTAGATCCACTGATAGCTTGCACCATGCACTTGGAAAGGACACACAGGCACTCAACACCAACCCTTGAAAGCAGCTGTGGGGGATGTAGCCTGCACAGCCACAGGAGCAGAACTGCCCAAGCTCTTGGGAGCCCACCCCTTGCATCAGTGTGCCCTGGATGTGAGACTTGGAGTCAAAGGAGATCATTTCAGAGCTTTAAGATGAAGGGGCCAGGCACTGTGGCTCTTGCCTATAATCCCAGCACTTTGGGAGGCTGAGGCAGGCAGATCATGAGGTCAGGAGTTCAAGACCAGCCTGGCCAGCATGGTGAAACCCTATCTCTACTAAAAATACAAAAAGAAATTAGCCAGGCATGGTGGTGCATGCCTGTAGTCCCAGCTACTCAGGAGGCTGAGGCAGGAGAATTGCTTCAACCCAGCCAGCAGAGGTTGCAGTAGGCCGAGTTCACACCACTGCACTCCAGCCTGGGTGACAGAGCGAGTTCTGTCTCACACACACACACACACACACAAAGATTTAATGTCTGCCCCACTGGGTTTCAGACTTGCATGGGGCCTGTGGTCCCTTTGTTTTGACCAATTTCTCCCATTTGGAATGGGAATATTTATCCAATGCCTATACCCCCATTGTATCTTGAAAATAACTAACTTGATTTTTATTTTACAGGCTCGTAGGAGGAAGGAACTTGTCTTGTCTCAGATGAGACTTTGGACTTGGATTTTTAGGTTAATCCTGGAATGAGTTAATACTTTGGGTGACTGTTAGGAAAGCATGATTGGTTTTGAAATGTGAAATGATATTTGGGAGGGGTCAGGGGCAGAATGATATGGTTTGGCTCTTTGTCCCCACCCAAATCTCATGTTGAATTGTAATCCTCAGGTGTCGAGGGAGGGAGCAGGTGGGAGGTGATTGGATCATGGGGGTGGTTTCCCCCATGCTGTTCTCATGATAGTGAGAGACTTCTCATGAGACCTGATGGTTTTTAAAGTGGTAGCTTCCCCCATGCTCGCTCTGTCTCCTGCTGCCATGTAAAATGTACCTTGCTTCCCCCTCACCTTCTGCCATGATTGTAAGTTTCCCAAGGCCTCCCCAACCATGTGGAACTGTGAGTCAATTAAACCTCTTTTGTTTAGAAATTACCCAGTCTCAGGTGGTATCTTTATAGCAATGTGAAAACGAAGTAATATAGTACCCAATAAACAACAACTCTCCATTTCCCAACCCCAACACTTCCTGACAATCACCATTCTACTTTGTGCGTCTATGAATTTGATTACTTTAAGTACCTCATATAAGTGGAGTCATACAGTATTTGTCTTTTTTTGTGACTGGCTTATTTTGCTTAGCATGATGCCCTCAAGGTTCATCTATGTTGTAGTGTGTATGTGCTAATGCGTTTTTAGTTTGTTTTAAGTTCTGATGGTTTCCAGAGAAAAAGGGCCAATATTCTCCTTTAACTAAATGAGAAATACTTACATTAAGGAATATCCATGAAACAGGAGAAAGCAGGGTCACTTTGCCTTGTTGCAACCTGTGTGCAACACAAACATTTGAAGCCACAGATATCACTTATGATGTGGTACACTCAAGAGACGTGGAGTTTGTACATGATTACACAATGTATCTGGGTCATGATAAAATAAAAAACTTAAATTTACTCAAACCATAGAACATGGTATTAATATGGAGAACAATGTTTCACTGAACTGAATATTTACTACAAAGGTCAACATTTTAAAATATCTTTTATGTTATGAATTTCTGTATCATCATTTGTTCTTCCTAAATCTCACCTTCTAAAATAGTATGATTGTTTTTGCTTCCCTTCCCCCATCACATGATTACCGTTCAGAAAAACAAAGTTTAGAGAGATTCGTCCAAAAAGAAAAGTGGACTTGGCAGTTTTAATATTTAAACTATAACTTTATTTAATAGGAAATTCAATTCTGTACAAAGAACCCACTACTATGTTTAAAAATTAACTTCTAGGAGTAGCTACCACTATCTGGAGTCCAACCAGGTTTTTAGCCATTATTGTAATAGCCATATTATTTCATTAAATGGAATTTTCATTTTAGTTTTGCCTTACTTTTCAAAAAAATATAATTTGGTCTCATAAAATGAGTTTGGAAGTGTTTCTTCCTCAATTTTTTGGAAGCGTTTGAAAAGATTTGGTATTTATTCTTTAAATAAATTCAGCAGTGAACCCATTAGGTCCTGGGGTTTTCTTTGGTAAGAAATTTTTATTTCTGATTGAATGCCCTTACCCATTTTCGGTCTGTTCAGATTTTCAATTTCTTCTTGATTCAGTCTTGATATGTTATATGTTTCTGGGAATTTATTCATTTCTCCTAGGTTATCCAATTTGTTGGCATATACTTTTTCATAGCGGTCTTTTATGATTCTCTGTATTTCTGTGATATCACTTAGATCTCCTCTTTCACTTCTGGTCTTATTTTTTTGAGTCTTGTTTTTTCTTAGTCTAGCTAAAGGTTTGTCAAATTTGCTTATCCTTTTAAAAACCCAACTCTTTGTTTGGTTTGTCTTTTCTATTGTTTTCCTAATCTCTATTTCATTTATTTCTGCACTTATCTTTGTCATTTTCTTTCTTTTACTAAATTTGGGCTTAGTCTGCTCATCTTTTTCTTGTTCCTTCAGGTATAACATTAGGTTGTGTATTTGGAAACTTTCCTTTGCTTTGATATAGGTATTTATTCCTATAATCCCCAAACTTAGTACTGCTTTTGCTGCATCCCATATGTTTTAGTATGTTTTTTCATTTCCATTTGTCAAGATATTTTTAATTTCCATTTTAATGTCTTTTTAAAAATTTCTTCTTTGGCCCCTTGGTTGTTTAGGAACATGTTTAATTTCCATATATTTGTGAGTTTTCTGAAATTTGTCCCATTATTGATTTCTAGTTTTCATACCATTGTGATCAGAAAAGATACTTGATGTGATTTCAATCTTAAATTGTTAAGACTTGTTCTGTGGCCTAATATTTGATCAATCCTGGAGGATATTCCATGTGCACCAAAGAAGAAATATATGCTCTTCAGCTGTTGAATAAAATGCT